GAGCTAGCCATAATTCGAATCTTGACCTTTTTTTGTGGAAGAAAAGAGAATGTTATATCAAATCAAGTGAGAGAGTAATGGAATTTTTTCCCTTATTGGGAGGTGTTTAAGATGGTCCACCATTAGTGGACTAAAAGAAGAAGATACAGTAAGATCCAATAACTGACACTGACATTCAGAAGTTTGGTCAGTATTTAGTAATTTCAATTAGAGGTTTGAGAACAAATCTACCTTCCAAAAACACTAGTAAAAGACTAAAGAATAGGGCTTTTTTTTTCCGGGTGTATATGAGACCGATGTTTCGACTTATCAATGGAGCTTATAGAAGTAGAGGAGAGGTAGCGTTGACGAATTGGGTGATTGAAAATGACTTAAAAGACACAAACTTTTCTTTACTTTTAAGCTGCAACTTCACTTACATATCTCTCAAAGCTTTTGTGTCTTTGCAAGTTCTTGAGGTTTTTGTTTAATGAAGTTTTTTGTATGTATCTCAGTTGAGGAAACATGAATACAACATCGACACATTTTGTTTCATCGAGAAGGTTTGAAATTTACGAGCCTCTTAACCAAATCGGTAGTATGTGGGAAGAAAGCTTCAAGAACAATGGAGGCATGTATACACCGAGCTCTATCATAATCCCGACAAACGAAAAACCAGAGAGCTTGGTACTACTTTCTCATTCTCTATATAAATTTCTCTCATTTTGAATTGAGAAACTAATGCTTTCTTTAAATCTTTGTTTCAGTCAGAGGATACTTCTCATGGAACAGAAGGAACTCCTCACAAGTTTGATCAAGAAGCTTCCACATCTAGACATCCTGATAAGGTAAGTTATATAGTAGCTCATTTGGTTATCTTAATTGTTATTGAGAATTTTGTCAATTGAATCTTTGTATCTTCACAGATACAAAGACGGCTTGCACAGAACCGCGAGGCCGCTAGGAAAAGTCGTTTGCGCAAGAAAGTATGGAACTTTACGGTCCTTGCAACTCGTAAAATTGGTTATGTTTTAAACTGAGTGATAAGAGTCTTTGTCTTGCAGGCTTATGTTCAGCAACTAGAGACAAGCCGGCTGAAGTTAATTCATTTAGAGCAAGAACTCGATCGTGCGAGACAACAGGTTTGTGAAAACTATTTTCGATCTTGTTGATATAATGATTTATGATCATGAATCATATAATGTTGCAGGGTTTCTATGTTGGGAACAGAGTAGATACCAATGCTCTTGGTTTCTCAGATAACATGAGCTCAGGTTTGAATCTTTAACCTCTATGTGGCAATTTACCAAATTCTCTCCTCGTAACCATTTTCGAGATTTCATCGGTTTACTTCTTCTTGTTAGGGATTATTGCATTTGAGATGGAATATGGACATTGGGTGGAAGAGCAGAACAGGCAAATAAGTGAACTAAGAACGGTTTTATACGGACAAGTTAGCGATATGGACCTTGGTTTGCTAGTAGACAATGCCATGAAACATTATTTTCAACTCTTCCGAATGAAGGCAGCCGCTGCGAAAATTGATGTCTTTTACATCATGTCGGGGATGTGGAAAACTCCAGCAGAGAGGTTCTTCATGTGGATGGGAGGCGGATTTCGACCCTCGGAGCTTCTCAAGGTAATAGAAGAAAAAAAAAGACTTAAATCCATAAAATTTATGGTTTTAGTAACAATGATTTTGGATTTTCTTGGTTAGGTACTATTACCGCATTTCGATCCTTTGACGGATCAACAACTTTTGGATGTATGTAATTTGAAGCAATCATGTCAACAAGCGGAAGACGCTTTGTCTAAAGGTATGGAGAAATTGCAGCATACATTAGCAGATAGTGTAGCAGCCGGAAAACTCGGTGAAGGAAGTTATATTCCTCAAATGACTAGTGCTATGGAGAGATTAGAGGCTTTGGTCAGCTTTGTAAATCAGGTAACAAAGAGAGATTATTAAGACAAAAAAAAAAAAAAAAC